ACGGAACATTTTGAATTGGAAAATAATATGCTCAAAAGGAATTTGGGGAAAGAAATCTGCCTGTTGGTGTCTCATCAGGAGCACAAGGTTAGAGAAACTGGTAGGACTCTTAGCATATCCAAACTGACATCCTACTAAGGAGAATTTATTCTTAAGATAGCAATTGAAGCATAGAGGTTAAGCCTGGTGGAGAGCACCATTTTGATAATAGATTGTTAGGTGAAGGAAAAGAAGGAAGGACAGGGGCAAGGACTCTGGAGTCAAATAGAGATGTGTGTGACTCCTGACATCATCACCACTTATCGAACGTGAGATCCTGATGGATCCTTTCTTCCCCATCAGTAAAATGTGGATGATACAAACCTTCTCATTATTGCAAAGTGTCCAAGAAATGGTGCCTAGGAAGCACGTAGCATGTATGTGCCTGGAATGCTGTAAATACACCAGGATTTGGGGTTTTGGTTTGGGGATTTTGTTTTCTTAGTAGAGTTAAGAAATTGAGAACCAAGATCAGTATGTAAAGAGGGCCGATGAAGAAGGTAAACTTACACAGGCTAGACACTGAGAGCCTCCATCTCGTCCTCTGTAAGAGAGCTGGGGACAAGTTCCCTCACTGAAGAACGTATTAGCTCAGTAATAAGCATTCTGTGATCATGAACAAGCTTTTCTTAGTTTACTAACTAGTAAAAGGATTAGGCTAGTTCAGAGGCATTTCAACATATTCATTAGGTTAGTTGGTCATTTTCCAGCAAACTGCTCACATGATCAATACATTGGTTCCTTACTGGTATGTTGTATAGGTGACTTTAGAAGCCTCCAAAGTGAATTATTTACCAAATGAGGCTTATTCCTAAAAATGCATTTGAATTATTATTACTAATTAGTATGAGTAATTGAATTCCATAATATGTTATTTAGCTAGGTTCAGTTTGCTAAAATTATTACACCATCTCTGTAGTGATTTAGTATTAATTGGAATCTCTTTTCACATGAGGTAAGTTAATAATGTATACATATCTGTTTCCAGACACTAACTGTGGCTATGAATCTCACATTATTGACCAGAATAAATGAAATATATAGGCAGGGATGCTTAGTGAGATATCTAAAAGTTCCAAAAGCCACAAATCATAACTACTTATCTTGTCTTTCAAAACATAGTGTTCTCAAGTATGCTTTCTCGAATCATTGAAACTCTATCTTTACAATCCTTCACAGATGTTAGAAACATTATTTAAGGGGCACATACTTTTATTTTATTTTATTTTATTTTATTTTATTTTATTTATTTATTTTTTGTTCAGAAAGAGTGGGAGGGAGAGAGAGGAAGAGAGAGAGAGAAACATCGACATGAAAGGTACACATCCGCCCACACGACCCAACCAGGGCCGGGGAAGGGGCATGTACTTTTAGAAGTAACTTTATACTTTAGATGTTTTTCTATATTTAAAAAAAGTATAATTTATATCTCACCTTAGAAGAATATAGGTCCTTATTTGATTGGGAGTTTTGTGTTGCTTTTTTTTTAAAGAAAGAATAAGAAAGCAATACATTTAAGCTTGTGAATAAGGGAACAGTAACTGAAAAGCAATTTCTTACCATCTCTCACACTAAGCATTCTTGCTTTGTATAGTTTGAAGGATGTGTTGAGTCCCAGTTCTACTTTATTTCACTAAATATCCCTTTCTGGAATTAGTCAAAATGATGTAAATGCAATCCAGCAGAGCCATCAAACTTTAACTGCTCAAGTAACACAGATTCAGTGTACAGGCAGGGAAAACATTTTATTCTTTCATCTTGTAGTATTCATTATCTAGATATTTTTCTTATAAACAGTCACTCAAAGAGATAACGACTATAACTGTAAAGAAATAAGCTTTTATTTAAGAAACTGTGTTTGCTTCCGCTACTGCAGCACCCTCTCTTCAGCCCCATGGCTCCTTAAATGGCACAGAGTGCACCTTGTTGTTGAAAATTTCTGTTGATAGTTATCCGAAGGGTTTTGCCCTCTGCACACAAGTTTCTGCACAAAATACGCCGTTTTCACATTGTCAACTGCAGTTAATTCTTATCGATATAATGTACTTCACTGAAATCGCCAACCTTTGCTCTTCGCATTCTGGGATTGATTTATGCTAGGTAGATCAAATCAATTAGAACCAATTTATTAGTTTCCAATACTTCTCTAGGTTTCTGTGTATGTGTATAGAAAACTTGAGCTTTTTGGTACTTCTTGATGATGCAATTTATTTGATCAAGCAACTTTCATATGCTGAGTGTTTTACCTCCCATGTCAATTAAATGTATTTCAAATATACTTTAACAAAAGAATTGACATAATTTTTGAGGTTTTCTCAACAATGAGGTCTCCAAGATTCAAAAATATGGAATAAATTGTCATCTCCTAGATGACTTTATTTATTTATCCATCCAAAAGCATGTTTGTTTGATTACATGCAGGTCTATTTGTGTGTGTGTGTGTGTGTGTGTGTGTGTGTGTGTGTGTGTGGTTTTGCTACTTCAGCATTAATATTTAACAAATTCCAAAGTTAATTAATACCTTTTTCTTCTCTCCCACACAACATATAGACTTTAGAATGCTTTAACTCTGGTTACTACCACTCAATTTACATACTATAGTAACTTGTGCCTTAGTTCTAACCCTTGCCACAGATGACCCATTATTATCACTTTGCATTTTATAACCCCCAATGCCTTTTCAGGTTGACTGTGTATTTGCTCATATTTTTGTTTACCATTCTTGTTTATATCCAAGATCATCCATTTGAGATCATGTAAATTCTACCTGCTATATAAATTTTAAAATTTTCTTCCATGAAGTCTGCTAAAGGTAAATTCTCAGTTTTGGTAGTCAGAAATATTTATAATTTTCTCACACTTTGGAGAGAGATTTTTGCCAAATATGAGATTCTATACTGACAGAAAATTCCCCTTGACACATGGAAGACACTGGCTCCTGGAAGCCATTGTTGCTGTTAAGGAAAAGACCTTCAGTCTGATGACTGTTCTTTGTAGGTGATCTGTCTTTATTTTCAGCTGCTTTTGAAGGTTCCCTCCCCACCCACTTCCCTTTGGTGTTCTCTATCAGATGTCTGTGAGTGGAGTTTCTTTTCATTTATCCTATTTCGGATTCATTGAGCTTCCCAGAACTGAAAATGGGTATCTTACAGTTCTGAGAAACTACCAGCCAGTATCTGTTCAAGTATTGCCTATTCACCATTAGCTCTTTTATCTCTATCTAGAATTCTGATTATTGCCTCCAAGGTTCTCAGTTTTTCTTGTTTTCAATTCCTTTGTCTCTCTAGGTAGCATCTGGTTTATTTCTCTGGCTCTACTATTAGCATGTCTGATCTATACTTTAATTTCTCCATTGTATCTTTTATTTAAATTATTACATTTTAATTTTACAAGTTCTGTTTTTATTATTTTTCAAATGTAGGTGCTCATTTCTTATAATCTCTAATTTTTTACTCATAATCAATCTTCTCCTTTATGTTTTTTTTAAGATGTTGCTATTTCATATTCTGTGTCTGATCATTTCAATATCTTTGAAGCTCTTATTCTACTGTCTGTTGTTTTCTTTTGTTCTCATTCATGCTTTTTATTTCCTGTGTAATTTATTTGTTTTACTATGAAATTATTATTTTCCCATGGGAATTATTTGGGACCTGGATTGATGACACATTCCTCCACAGAGGATTTGCATTTGTTTCTGCCTGTTGCCAGTGACCCCGCCAGAACCATTGTTCTGATACCTTGCTGACAGTGCCAACGGGGACCAAAACCTGTGAGGACCCATTTTTGTTTATAAACAATCAGAAGGGAATTTTTCTTTTCTTATCCATTTAGAACAAAGGTAAGCAGGCAAATTTCCCTGCTTTCTTCTTCAGTACATCAAACTTATTTTTTTGTTCCTTTCTCTTGAGGGTGGAGGCCTTTGAAGTATCCGAGGCTTATATGGAGTCCCCGTTAGACTCACCCACACTGTATGAAGCCATTCAAGCAAGAACCCAAGGCCTTCCAGGGTTTGGGAGGAACTGTCAGGCTAAAGTCTGCTTTCGTGTTTCCTTATCTCCTAAGGCTCCAGCTTCCTCTCTGTGTAGGAATCTGCACATTCCCTCTTGTCATGCCAGCTCAGCACTACATTACAAATGGCTTTCAGATATATTATTCCAGTACTTCAGTTGTTCCCATATAGAGATGGAAATCTTTATACAGTTTAACTGAGACCTAAATGAAGTATCTATGTATATGGTGACATAGATGACCATATATGTAGATTTATCATTATATGTATTTATGGCATTTCATTTATATATACTTATCATAATTATTTCTGGTTGCACCTGCTAACATCTTATTATATCTGCTATACACTTTATTTTTTTTTCATCTACACTGCAAGAGTAATAGGCATGCCTTTTGTCACTTACCTTCTTTGAAAGAAAAAAAATGGTATGCAGTTATAGATTTAAATAAATATAATCAGCTATTACTTTATTTTAAAAGTCTCATTACATTATGTAGAACTGTAGAACTTTTCAAAACCTCTCAAAATAATAGGGTCATAGAAATAGTTACATCCAGGTCCAGCTGGTATAAAGGAATCACTTATGTTGAAAATATTGGAAACATTAGGACCGTTGCAAAAATGTTAATGTTGGTAAAATATAAACATGATTGCCTTTGAGCAAAGAACATATTCCACAAAAAATTATGCTTGTGCTGCATTTAAGAAAAGCAAAAAATTTGAAAGCTTGTAGTAATTCACAATGTCAAGAAAACTTTTAAAAATAGTGACTCCCTTTGTCTAATGAAGGTTCATTTGGTAAAGCAGATGATTTGCCCCTTTTTTGAAATCTGAGTTCATATGAGACATTATTTTCAAGTAAGGACACATATCATTGCAATCACTAAAGATAAGTAGCCCCATCCATCCTTGCCCTGTCTTCCTTAATCAATGGCTATTCTTCTTCCAGTACGTGCGAGTATCTTTCGATACAAAACCTGATCTCCTCTTACACCTGATGACCAAGGAATGGCAGTTGGAGCTTCCCAAGCTTCTCATCTCTGTCCACGGGGGCCTGCAGAACTTCGAGCTCCAGCCCAAACTCAAGCAAGTCTTTGGGAAAGGTCTTATCAAAGCAGCCATGACAACCGGAGCATGGATATTTACTGGAGGGGTTAACACAGGTAATTGGAAGTGAGACAGAGAAAGGCAACATAAGGCCAAAAGAGCATTGTGACTAAGATAATTTTCTCCTAAGGTTAAATATATTTATATCCCCCCAGCTTCTCCTACTCATGTGTCCATACTCGCTGGTTATCTCCTCTCACTGATTTTCTCTCCCTCCTTTACCAAAATAATAACTGCACTGTTATTTCTCAGCCAAGAAGAATTACTTATGTATAAGAAACAGGTTGGGATAGTTGACTATCCCAATACCTGACTATACAGAATTTTAAAATGTGACTAATGGAACCTCATAGGATATTTTCAATATCTCAGGTTGCCAAATAAGTATCCAATAATTCTTATTTTAATTATTCATATTTTTAAAGTACAGTTAATATGCAATAATTATATTAGTTTCAGGTGATCAGCATAGTGGTTACACATTTGTATAACTTAAGAAGTTATCCCCCCCGATAAGTCTAGTATCCCCCAATACATACATAGTTATTGCAATATTATTGACTATATTCCCTATGCTCTGCCCAATAATTCTTTAAGGAATACGTTTTACTTTAAATTAGAAGCTCTGCCTCTATTCTTTAAGTAATTTGTAAGTTTGATGCAAATAGCTTTAATTTTTGTTAAATACCCTTTCCATCTGGAACATAAGTTGTGATAGCAAAGCCCAGAGTATTAATTATTATTTCAAATCTTTTATTAAATATTCTCCACATCAGTAGAAGATGCACTCTACTCTGAATTCCAAAGAGTTTTTTTCTACCTGTGAAATACGTTTCTATCTTGTGACACAGGCAGGCTGTCAAACCAATTCTTACAAACCCACTTACACTTAAGTGCTTATCTGCAGAATTAATGTGCAACAGAGAACGGAATGGGTGCCTGTAAATTGTTTTGACATATTTCCCCAGCCTGAGTCTGAAGTGCCAATTGAAAGTGCACAAGTAGTGCTGCAATGAGTTAATTCAAACTTGTTACAAGGCTCAAAGTCTGCGCATGTAGACACACTTGGAATTAGTGGAACATTCTAACATAATCCTGGACCAACAACTTTTAAATAAAAGATGACCTCAGTGTTGTTTATTCTTTTGTTCATAGTTGGGATGATGCTTGAGTGAGAGCTGCACTCAGAATTCTCCTCAATCCCTAGAATGTCTGAACATTCAGCACAGAACTCCGTAGGCACATTTCAGCTGTGAAATTTGCAGACAGCCATGCTCATCGCTATGTGAAATCCTGACTCAGTCCGTTAACTGACACGATCTTAGGATGACCTGCTCGGTCAGCTCTTCAGTGTTTATTTTGTGGTCATCAAACATCTACAGAGCAATTTTTTTTCCCATGACTACTTAGGCTTTAGGCTCCGACTTTCGCTCACAGCTTAGCAGGCACCATTATCCACCCATCATTATTTAGTCTTTTGCTCCGCTGACAACCCGCACCTCATCGAGAGACCAACGCAAGATTTCTAAAGGCTCAAAAGAAATTCGTACCAGCCTTCGGTTTCTGAGTACTTGGAACATTGTTGATTGTTTGTCTTCTTTTGTGAAGTACATCTAGTATCAAAAGAAGAATTTACAGCATAAATACTGTAAACCAAAGCATTCCTCCCTGCCTCACTCCAGGCTTACTGTCCTATGCAGTGCTCAACGAGAGGTCCTAACGGTGACACACTCAGGTCCGCTGAGACATAATGGTGGAACTGGAGCAGATGGAGGTGCATTCCTTGAAGTGAAACTTTCTGTCCAGGACTGGCCCCGAAAGGGAATTTGCGTATCAACAGAAAAATTTTTAACATTAATATTCACAGCTTTACTTCCTGTGTTTTTAAAACCAGTACCCTCACCCTGGCCGGTTTGGCTCAGCAGTTAGAGCATCGGCCTGTGGTCCAGAGAGACCCGGGTTCGGTTCCCACTAAGGGCACGTACTTCGGATGCAGTTTGTCCCCGGCCCTGGTTGGTCGTGAGGTGGCAGCCACTCGATGTGTCCCTTTCACATCGATGTTTATCTCTCTCTGTCTCTTCCTCTCTCTCTCCCTCCCACTCTATCTGTACAAAAAAAAATGGAAAAATGTCCTCGGGTGAGGCTAAAAAAAAAAACAACTCAACTAAAACCGGTACCCTCACTTAGGAGATCCATAGATAAGCTAGTAAGCACAATTGCTGCTATTCTCAACACTCCCAGAATAGATCAATGAGGGAGGATTAGTGGCTATTTACTTTGTTTTGTTATTTGGTTTTTCCAAAGGAGGATCTTTCTGTTTTATCTTACGAATATTTCAGAATTGAGTTATTTACTCATGTGCCCTGTCCCGTGATTCAATTGCCTGATGTGTTTTGTGTGCTTAGTTAGTTCAGTGGACGGTGTCTGAGCCTTTGCTCAGTGCTAGCCCCTGAACCACACAAAGATGTGTAAGACGCTGACCCTCCAACCTCCCCCTCAAGAAGGTCTACTTTTAGAGGAGACATCGTCATGTGTGATTATGATTCATGACAGATATGTTAGGTGACATATTGAGCTATTCAACATATGCAAACCACAATCCTGTTCAAGCTTAGAATAAATAAAGTCCACCTCCGCTTTTACATAGGAGATAGACTAGGTGTGATTTTTCCTTGAGCAAAAGGTAGAATTTTTGAAGTGGGAACATCTTCTCTTAGAGAATGTATTTCATCTCTTCTTTTAAAATCATCATTTGAGAGCGAGGTGAAAAGATTAGAAATTGCACCTTCTTTAAATGGTTTATAAAAAGATAAGCCATTGGTCTCCTTACCATCTTATAAACTGAATTTCTCACTTTTAACCACGATAAGAAAGGTCACGATGAAGCGGAAAACTATTACAATGAGAGAGATAAAAGGTGTATTTATATTTTTTAACATCAACTTTCCACAGAATGTGCCAATATTTTCCTTACAAGCAGGGCCTCTACAGTAATTGTCCATAAATAGAAAGATAAAATCAAGGTTGACAAAGTCAGAGCTGTTACTCCTCTCTTTGAATGGCCCTAACTCTTACACAAACTGTGCTGTAAGTTTAATACAATATTATATGTGGTGCTTTTCATAGGATCCAGTCATGGAATTGGTTCTTAGTCATACTTAACACATCATTATGCTTCTAATACAAGAAAAAGATTTCCTAAGAAAAAGATTTTCTAAGTTTAAAGAGTTGGATTTATGTTTTTACAGATGTTAGGTGCATTTTTTCATATAAGATAGGATGAGAAAGCATTGCCGGAGTTCATATACAAGCCTGGCAAATATATCTGTCACTAGAGGCACACGTTCATATTCACTGAAACACACGCAGTTTGTATAGAAATGCGCCAAATTTTTATAATCGATACGTTTAATCTTGGGAGAAATAGTTATAACATTTTCTTTTAGAACAGTGGAAAGTAGTTGCTTTAGAAGACAAGAGTAATACTTCTCTTTTTCCTCTCAGGTGTTATTCGTCATGTTGGAGATGCCTTGAAGGACCATGCATCTAAGTCTCGGGGGAAGATATGTACCATAGGTATCGCCCCTTGGGGAATCGTGGAAAACCAGGAGGACCTGGTTGGAAGAGATGTAAGTCCTAGGAGCTTCCCTTGGATATAACTTCTCACTGAGATGCTATCAAAAAAAGTTAAATAAAATTAGAACTCAAAATACTCTTTTAGTCCTTACCTCCCAAAATGAAATTGATATTAGGAATCATTTATTGAGAGACTATTTATTTTCCAGAATCTATGAAAACTCCAGCATCAATTTTTTTGACTAAGAAAGGTCCTAAGACTTATCAACTGCCTTCTTGGTCTGAATCAAGCAGTGGTCTTTCCTCGCCCATCAAATCTTGCAAGTGCTCTTGGCAAGGTTATGTTAAGATTAATTAACAACATGGACTCATTGACTGATACGTGAAGAGGACTCTACTCATCCCAGGTCTCCAATTTCTTTGTTATTTGAGTGCCCTTCACCTAGGTGGGAAGCACTAGAAAGGGAAATTCTTTCCATTGATCTTGAGGCTTACTTGGTTGGTCTTTCTTTCACTGAATTCTTGGGCGTGGAGTAGGCATAGTTGGGTTCTTTATTTACCGTTCTGGAACTATTCAGAAGCCTTGACCAAATTCCACACGATGTTAACCTCTTTTTTCTGTTCTGATGTCTAGAGCCACACATTGACCAATCAATCAACAATTTGTCAGAGAGAATTTCGTCTTATATTTTCTGAGTCATCATCCTATTCTTGCTTCTTCCAGGGGTCTCTCTCTCTCTCTCTCTCTCTCTCTCGTTTTTTAAAACCACAAACAGGTCATTCTCAGCCTCCCCCTACTACCCACCACACTTTCCCCCTATATAACATTGCTCAAAATTCCATTGATAGAAATTGTGGTTAAACTATGTGCACATATTGCCATATTTTATTCACTTCTTTTCCCCCCAATAATTTTAGCAATTAATATTTATCATTGCTTCACTACATCAGATCAATAGTCCTTTCTTTCCAACCCAGGCCCTCCATAGGGTATAACAAATGTGCTAAAACTTTTTACAAGTATCATGAGGTCTGTCAAAAAATAAAAATAAAAAAACTCAAAGAGGTTGAGAATTAACTGGTCTTAACCCACTTTTTCTATATTATTGCAATACAGTGAAACCATCTTATTTCAATGCAGCACAATATATGTAATTTTTATCAAATTTAATACTTTGAATTGAAAATCAAACACCATGAAATGCAAGCAGTAAACAAATAATCTTTAAATTCTTCTGGGCTTTTATTTTTAAGGTATAAAAAGTATTCATATCAATGCTACCAAATTACATGTAGACATACTAATTTATCTAGAATATGGAGGATAAGGAATGAGATATTAGTTTTACCAGTGGAATATTCATATAACTAAAATTCACTGGCTATTTTATATCACACACAAATTTAAATAAATCAAGCAGCAATTCCCAAAGTGTTATGTAGTGAGAACTGACTGTAAAAGTAATGTTACTAATTTTTTCAGTGTCTGAGACTAGTCTTTGATGGAGTATACTTGGGTTAATACTCGCCTTAAATTCCATGTTGGCTTTTAATTGTATGTTGATTGTGACCTAGAAGAAGCATATTTCTTAAAGAAGCAGAATATGCTAAATGTCCTAATACCCAAATCATTTATTATCACATTTTATTAACAAATGAATTATTTAAAATGTTGTGATGATTCAGAGGCATTTTTAAATGTTCATAGCTTCAGGATCTCTATTATAAACCTAAGTTATTATTCTATTTTAGGTGGAGAAGGCATTTTGGAACTTTCTCATTCAGATGACCTAGGAATAGATAGAGCTGATTATTTCTCTTTCAAGAGAGAGTAACCAAATAATTATCTCGGTTGCTTAAGTATTTGCAGAGAATGCTGGCCTTTTTATAACATTCTGTTTGTTCATCTTCTAAATCTTATGTAATTGCAGAAAGACAATACTTACATTACATTTGCTTGTTTTGCTGAGTTGAATCACTCCCAATTTATTTTCCTCCAATTCCAGCATTTTTCTCTGGTTTCACCTCCTCTTACGCTCTTTTTTTTCCCTCTTCTTTTCTTTCTCCTCATATTTCTTCCCACTTGTATGCCAATAGAAACTTACACATGCCTGTGCCAATAGGATTTAGTTACATTGTCTGACTTTCCAATGAAAAATGGTCTTGATACCAGCCCAGAGGGCAGAAAAAGCCACTTGTGTTTACAGTAAAATATGCATATTCATTGTCCCTGCTCACAGTAGTCTAATAAAGGCAAGCCATAGCTCACCAAGATCCAAGTGAACCTGCCGAGAGAAAAGAGAAAAGGAAATGAAATTGGCAGGTTGTAGAGAACAGAGGAAAAACAGTTGTATTTTAGTTTTTCAGTAAATCTTTGACCAAGAACGACTGAATTTCAACCATGCTAGTACAGTTTTTCACAAAAAAAATGGGGAATTGGAGTATGCATGGAATTTCTCGGGCTCTTGTGTGAAAATAGAACAAAATTATTTGGGGTGTATTATGACATAGTTTGAGGGAATTTTTAATATGTGTTTGCTATTCTGATGTGATCATTCAAAAAGAATGTAATGGGAGGTTGTCATAAAAAGTGGTATTTGAATAAAATGTTGGTGATCATGGTAAAAATCCCCCTGAAAATAGTCAAAATAGAAGTGTTTTTTGGTAAGCTTCTTAAGTAGTTATAACAATTTTCATAGCTAGTTTAATTTAGTGCCTCTGTCATTTTTCTTCTACTTTGTATCATCAAACTCACAAGTAATAAACACAAAAAATAAACCTCAGGTAGCAGGGAAAAAAACTAATGTATTGTTAACATTTTTACCATTTCAGAATTCTATCAAAATTCAATCATTTGAAAAAATAGAATACAGTAGTTGCATTTTCAGTCAAGGCTATGTCTGTATTCCAGAATAATGTTGAAGTGGCACAGAATCAACATCAAGGGAAATCTAGGAAATTTACTTGAAATAAATAAAACTCTAAGAATAAAAGAAAGGCTCCATTTCTTATGCCTGATATTTACTACAGTGGATTTATTGCTCAACTGATAGCAAATATAGATTATTTTATTTCTGTGGAGCTGGCTCACAAATGAGCACTTTTAAAAGCTGAACATTCAAGTATTACTAGAGTCATGCTATTCATAGAAGTAGTCGACACAGCAGTTCCTAGTTGCTGTTCATCTCAGAATATGAATGTCCCTTTGGAATGCTACTGTAAAGGCAAAACTACTCTAAACATAAAGAAGAAAGATTAACTTGCCCTGAGTCTGCTTGTAGATATCCTGAAGCATTTACCTCCCTGCAAGTCTTATCTCTTAGCTAGACATTAAGTTAGACTTCAACGATACAAGGCATGTATTTTTGTATTCTCAGAGCTCAGACTAGAGCCTCAAACATAGTAGGTGCTCAATAAATACGGATGAGGCTGGACTGGGCATGATGAAATTCAGGCTATAAGGAAAATAAATGTTATGAAAAAAATACTATGATAGATCTTAACTAGCTCACAACTTGATCACACAACTTTACCTCTAATCATATTCCCAAGCTTGATCATTCTATAGTGACTATAGCAAAAGCATTTTTAAACCAAATATATGATGAGAAAACTACTTTCTTATTTAGCAATTCAAGGTGGGAGATGAATGGTTCAAGTTCAGTAAGGTGGTATGCGGGCAAAGTGTAGAATGAGAACAGGCCTTTTCCTGTTGAGAAATGCATGATCCACTCAACTGAATGATAGAATTGGCCTTTATTCTTAAAACTTAATTGTCTTCTACTCTGTTTAACCAAACCCTTCTTTTCTCAATTATAGATCAATACAACAGACTTTGGTTAGGAATCATGCTATGAATACTGAGCTAGTAATACTTTTTTGTCCTGACATTAGACATGAAAGTTTATATTGTTCAGCTATTGAGGTTAACCCCACCGCTGTGATTTCTTCGTATTATTCTTACTGCCCCTTTCTTATATTACAACCCCAAGTTCCACACTTCAATCAAACTAACGTCAAGACTCGCTGCCACCAAGGCATCTTTTCTGACTAACTTCACCCATAATGTCACATCCTGATTATAACTCTCTCAGAATTGTCTTCTTCCCTAATTTTATTAATAACTCCACAAAACTAGGGACTGAATTATTTTTGTTTGTTTCATGTTAACCACTGATGTAATACTTTTTGTAAACATGAAACATTGATTGTCATTTAAACTCCATAAGATTTGATTGCTTCATCTCTAAGTGGACTATAAAAACACCTGTTCTGTCTATCTTCATAAAATTTCTATGAGCATAATCATAATAATGGTAATTTTAGTTTATTGAGCTCTTATTTTAGGATGCTCTCTGGGATGGCATTATTATTAATTAGCCTTATGAGGTATGTGTTATCTCTTTTTATAGGAAGGCAACTAAATAAGAATTAGAACAGGAATCCACAGTTTCTGAAGCCCAAACTCTTAACTAGTAGAATGCCAAGTAAAATATAAGAAAGTATTTAATGATATTATGTTCTTATTATTAGCTGAGATAATTATCAAATATCTTATGCCTATAAGTTGAACTAGAAATAGACTCAATGAGAATGGCTAGAGTCCTTTCCTTTGTCCCTAGACAATCTCAGCCTGAATAGATGGTTATGAAAGTGTTACCAGTGCAAAGTCAAGAAAGAACACACAATGTATTTTAATTTCATATGACTCATTTTAGACTTAAATTCCTTTAGAAAACAATCTTCCCAGAATTTTTTCAAATAATTGAACAATTTCTGAAGCCTTTATAATTTGTCTATTCCCAAATCTAAATTAACAACACACATGTCAAGTTAAAAATCAAGATATAATCACCAGAAAAAGTGCTTTTCATTTTCACTTGAGGATGAAAATTGTGTTTAGGGAGATTTCCAAAACATCATCTTATGTAGTTATCAAATTATCTTGACATTCAAGAATATGTTATCATTTTCTATGTTATAGATTTATTCTCAGATTTTATAAAATGTAAAAGTTCTTATATTTCATTGGAAAGTGTCCTTTTTATGTCAT